TCTTCAGTTATTTTCTCAGCCTTTTGGTGATTTTTTTCTAGGTCAGAGGTTTTGTCTTCTACTTCTGAGATTCAATGTTCTGCATGGTCTAATCTGTTGTAATATTTTTGAGGGAGGTTTTGATTTCCTGTGTTACAGCCTTCATCTCTAAAATCTCCATTTGATTTATTTTTTGTGGTGTGTATTTCTTCCTTTAAATTATAGAAGAACTTCCTCATCTCCTGGAACTTACTGTCTCTTTTCTCTTGTATCTTCTGGAGTTAGTTGTCTCTCTTTTCTTGCATCTTGATTAGTTTTGATGAAAATTCTGAATTCTTTGTCTGACATTTTCATGAATTCCATTGTACTGTCTTTGGGTGATGAAGGCCTGTTCTTTTCACTTGGAGGAGAGGTATTTTCTTGGCTTCTCATATTTCTTGTGTCTCTGCCATGGTTTCTGGTCATCTGATGTTTCCTCCTAATTTCTTGGAGTTAATTCTGAGCATTTAGAGGTGTGTGGATGGAGATGACTCACAATCTCTCTGCAGTTCTATTTTCCTGATGCTCATCAAGCAACCTGCACTTCTGTTTTTGGAACTGGATATTACAAAGACTTCCTAATTTCCAGAGAACTTGAGTAACGGGGCTGAGCTATGGGGTATCAACTGAGAGTTCAGAGGCATATGGGAGATGAGCTGCACTCTCTCTGCAGCTTTGCTGTCTTTCTGCTGCTCACTTTGCAATCTGTCTTCTCTGAGTTTTAGTCATTTTGTGGTGTATTCACTTTTGGCTAATTTGTTGGAGATGGTTTCTATAGCTGTAAGCTCATATGCTTCCCTTTACTATACGATACTTATGTACCCATATCTCTCCTCTACTGTGTTTTACAACATGTTATCCACAGAAAGAGATTTGAGTTCAGATCTATGAATAGGAGTTTCTCCTTCTGTGCAGCAGGTTCATTTCTTGACCCTAAAAGTATTCAGATATCTGGCTACTGGCACCTAGATCTGTCTATACACTCAGTCTGTAAAAGGTGAGCATCAAAGTGAGAAAGTAAGTTACAGAGTTAGGAAAAGAAAACAAAGGGGGTGGGACCAGCAGTTTGTGTAATGGCTATGTCACTGAACTCCCATATAGCTGACTGTGGTTTGAGTCTCGGACCCATTGAAACTCACGCCGGGCGTGTTTGCATGCATGCCCAAGATCCCTAGAGGAGAATGAAGGAGAAGGGATTGTGGTGTAGCCATCCCCTCTGGGGAATAACCTCTCACTTTCTGACTCTCTGTCTCTCTCTGTCTTTCTGGCGAGCACATGTGCCCTATGGCAAAAACCTCTCCCCCCCCAAAAAAAAAGTAAAAAAAAAAAAAAGAAAGAAAAAAATGTTTTTTTGCTTTTTGGGTTGTTTTTATCTCTTTCCCCCCTTTTTTTCTTTTCTTTTCTTTTTTTTTTTGGAGAGGTTTTCGCTATAGGGCGTGTGCGCTCGCCAGACAGATAGAGACAGAAAGCTAGACATCACCTCCCAGGGGGGATGGTCACACAGCAATCCTTTCTCCTCCATTCTCCTCTCGAGATCTTGGGCATTCACGCACACGCGCCTGGCGTGAGTTTTAAGTCACCGGGTCCGGGACGTGAACTGCGGTCGACTACGTGGGAGTCCAGCGACATAGCCATTACGCTAACTGCTGGTTCCCAGGGGAAAATTTTTTTCTGAAAAAAATCAATGAAGACCACGTGGAATGCAAGTTTGGATTTTGAATTTATTAAGACAAAGGAGAGGTCAGAGGCAAGATGAAGTTCTTAAAAAAAAAAAAAAAGACAGAGTGAGATAGAGGCAGAGACAGGGAGAAGGCAGAGCTACCCTAGCTGTCTAGGTGTTTGGATCTGGAAGGAGAGCTTTGGAGGAGAGGATCTTCAGTTACCCTAGTCTCTGAAAGGGGCAGAGCACAAGTCAGATGTAGATAGATTCTGAACTTAGCAAGACAAAGGAGAGATCAGTGGCCAAAAAAAGGTCTTAGTAATTAAAACAAAAAAGCTTAAAGACAAAGAGAGAGATTGCCCTATCTGTCTAGGTGTTTGGGTCTAGGAGGAAAGGTTTATAACAGAAGTTCTTTTTTTTCTTCTTCTTTTTTTTTTGGAGAGGTTTTGCCATAGGGCACATGCGCTCCCCAGACAGACAGAGAGAAAGAAAGTGAGAAATCACCCCCCAGGGAGAATGACCACATGCCAATCCCTTCTCCTCCATTCTCCCCTCGGAATCTTGGGCACTCACTCACAAGCACCTGGCATGTTTTAAGCCATCAGGTCCGGGACGCAAACTGCAGTTGACTATTATGGGAGTCCAGCAACATAGCCATTACACTAACTGCTAGTCCCAAGCAGAGGTTCTTCAGATACCATAGTCTTTGAAAGTTGCAGGGCAAACTCAGATGTAGATGGATCCTGTCTAGGTATTTGGGTCTGGAAGGAGAGGTTTGGAGCAGAGGGTCTTTAGTTATCCTAACCACTGAAGGAAGCAGGGCACAATTCAGATGTAGATAGATTCTGAAATTAACATGACAAAGGAATAGTCAGAAGCAAGACAAATTTCTTAAACATTAAAAAATAAAGACAGAGAGAGATAGAGACTGAGAGAAGGCAGAGATTGCCCTACCTGACTAGCTGTTTGGGTCTGGAAGAAGAGTTTTGGAGCAGAGGGTCTTCCATTACCCTAGTTCCTGAAAGGGGCAGAGCATACATAACTCAGATGTAGATGAATCATGTGTAGATTTTTGGGTCTGGAAGGATAGGTTCTAAGTAGAGGGTCTTCATTTACCCTAGTCCCAGAAAGGGGCAGGGCACAACTCAGATGTATGTGGATTCTGAAATTAGCAAGGCAGAGGAGAGATTAGAGTCAAGAAAAAGTTATTAAAAATTTTTAAAAAATGAAGGACTGAGAGACAGAGAGTGAAGGCAGAGATTGCCTTATATGTCTAGGTGTTTGAGTCTAGAAAGAGAGGTTGGGAGCAGAGGGTTTTCAGTGACCTTAGTCCCTGAAAGGGGTAGGACAAACTCAGATGTAGAAGGATTCTGAATCAAGCAAGAAAAAGGGGAGGTCAGAGGCAAGAAAAAGTTCTTAAAATTTGCAAAAAAAAAAAATATATTTAAAGACAGAGAGTGAGAGAGACAGAGAAAGAGAGAAGGCAGAGATTGTCCTATTTGTCTAGATGTTTAGTTCTGGAAGGAGAGGATTTGAGCAGAAGGTCTTTACCCTAGTCCCTGAAATGGATAGGGCAAAACTCAGATGTAGATCAATTCTGAAATTAGCGAGACAAAGGAACAGTCAGAAGCAAGATAAAGCTCTTAAAAATTAAAATAAATTATTTGAAGAAATACAGAGAGAGAGAGAGAGCAGAGGAGCAGAGACTGTCCTACATGTCTAGGTGTTTGCTGGAAGGAGAAATTTGGAGCAGAGGGTCTTACCCTAGTCTCTGAAAGGGGCAGGCACAACTCAGATGTAGATGGATTCTCTATAGGTGTTTGAGTCTGGAAGGAGAGATTTGGAGCAGAGGGTTTTTTTATTTTTGTTATTTTTTCTTTTTCCTGTTTGTCAGTTGAATATTTCATTAATTTTAATTTTTAAAAATAAAATCATTTTAGAGTACTTTTTCCTCTGATTAAGCCTTAACTATATGTCACAGTTTTATATAAAACATTATTTTTTATTTATTTTCTACTGATAACTTCAGATATGATTTCCTTTTGATCTAGGGATAATTCAGAAGACTTGTGCTTCATATGAGAATTCTTGTAATAGTGTGATGACACTCTTTTATAGATAAGAGAGTGAAGTTGTTTTTGAAGCTTGTAAAACTATTTTCTTTATCATTTGAGAATTTCCACTAATCAATGTCTAGGTTTGTGTCCGGCCGGGGACTTCTGGGACTTGTCAAGACTTTTTACTATTTCAACAAGTATGTCTTTCTTTCACATAGCCAAGTTTTCTTTTCCTTCTTTTTATTTTTTATTTGATTTTTTCCCTCCTGAAACTTATTTTCTATATATACATTTTCTTTTATAATAAAAATTTTTATTGTAATTTCTAATTCACATATAATAGTTGCACATCTTTATGGGATATAGTGTGGCTTTTCAAAACATGTATGTAATGTGTAATAATCAAATTAAGGAAACAAACATATACACTATATATCTCCAACATTTATCATTACTGTATTAGACACATTCAAAATTCCCTTTATTGGCTATTTAGGGACAAATATTAGATTGTCACTAATGTTCTTTACTGTACTATTATATTCTATGATCCCTTCCACTTTTTTTTCTTTTCAGAGGTTTTCGCTATAGGGCGCGTGCGCTCACCAGACAGACAGAGAGAGACATAGAGACAGAAAGCGAGAAATCACCCCCTAGGGGGGATGGTCATGCCGCAATCCCTTCTCCTCCATTCTCCTCTCGGGATTCTGGGCACACACGCACACATGCCCAGCGTGAGTTCTAAGCCACCGGGTCCAGGACGCGAACCGCGGTTGACTACATGGGAATCCAGCGACATAGCGATTACGCTAACTGCTGGTTCCCATATGATCCCTTCCACTTTTTAACATGTGCTCTTTTATCCATTAACCAAGTTCTCTTGAGCCCTTCCACTTTTCTCTCCTTTCTAGATTTTTGTATCCACCATTAAATTAATTTTCTACTTCTATATAATTGAGTCTTTATCTTCTGATAATGAGTTAGGAGATATGGTATATGTTAAATGAGGACATACAGTGTTTGTTTTTGAGAGTCAGGCTTATTTCATTTAGCATTATTTCTAACAGATTTGTCCAGTTTTCTGACAAACCTCTTTAGTGAACAATTTAGGAACTACTGGGTGAAAGAGAATGACCTTTTTTTGTATTTCAAGACTTTTGATAAATCTTAACAAATGTTTGCTCTTCCAAAAATATTGTACTAGTGTATAATTCAAGAAGGGTATATGTTTCTCATAACAAAATCATGCCATTTTTTTTTTTTAGGCTTTGAAATTTCTGAAAATCAGAAAAGACAAGCTGCAATGACTGTAAGAAAAGTCACTAAACAAAAAGGTAAAGTAGCCTTTATCCCCTCAACCATACTCATTTCCTGTGTGAGACTAAAGAGCCATAAACTATATGCTTGCATATGCCTAAGCTTGTCTCCATGCTGAAGTCACTAGGAGTGGTGGGGGAGTGTCCAGACCTCCAAGTGCCCCTGATGACAAGTAGCTAGTGGCTCAGGTTCAGGAGTCTCGCATATGGTAGACATGTCCAGAGATAGTTCACTGGGTATAGAAAAGAAATAGAGTCTCTGTTTCTCTTTATTTTATTTTATTTTCCCTTATTTAAAAATAAGAAAAACTTAAGGCAGCAGGTGGCATGGTGGTTAAGGAACTGAATCCCACATGGCAGACTATGTAGTTGAAATCCCAGACTTATAAAACATGCCAGGCATGTGTGCATGTGTGTCCAAAATCCTGAGAGAAAAATGGAGGAGAAGAGATTGCAGCATGACCATCCCTCCTGCAGGGTCATAACTCATGTTTTCTCTGTTTGTCTCTATCTGTCTCTCTCTGGCAAACGTGCATGCTCTATGGCAAAAATCTAAAACAGGAGAGAAATATTACTAATAACTTAGAGAAATATGGACATTAATAAATGAGTATAATTTATTACATAAGTATAAATCTATTGAGAATTTATGCTGTTTTCTTTCACTGGCCTGGAGAATTTGCCAAAGGAGGGGCTCCCAAATCAGAATGGAGCACCTCAAACTGAACTAAGACAAAAGATTCAGATATTTTCTCTCTTTCACTGAACCATATGCTGAAGTACTTAAAACAGAAAACTCTTCAGAATCAAGATATTTTGAGAATCAATAATCTGAAATAAGGCTTTTTTTTATGAACCCAAATAAACTTTAAATGTTCAGCTGAATAAAGGGAAATAACTACCTTCTGCTTATTAGTGTGCCAACTCAGTATCAGTCACTTTATAGCAGTTCTTTCATTTCAACTTTATGGTAATGCTGAGGACATGGGCACTATTAGCCCCGTTTTCCACATGGAAACTAAGGGTCTTCAGGATAAACTCCGAACCTAAATTGGCTAGAATCTGAGTCTATTGTTCTCCTCTTCATCTCAGGACCCTAATAATGCACCGTGCTGGGAAAGAAGAGCATACTTTTCTGTTTCACTGCAATTATTGACAGTGGCTTCTATTATTGACATCTGTTGTCACTGTCCCAGGGGGTGGGTGATCTTAGTAACACTTCATTTCCCCCAGGCTCTTCCTTCTGCTTTCTCAGTACTCTCTGCTTATAAAGTCATCATATAAAATGAACAGATTTAAGGTGGCCAATATTCCAGTATTGCATACATAAAGAGCCCTTAATTATTCCCAATGCAGATCTCTTTGATTGTGGAAGCTGAGTGCCCATGAATATCTGATTTCCAATTAAGCAGTGCACCTACTGGGCCCCTCTGACTAGACATGCTTTCCTTTCAACTGCTTATTACTTCTTTCTTTTGGGAGTCCTTTAGTGGCTCTT